GCCAGTTTGTGTGTCTACTTACACTTGTCAGTAGTACCTTTTGGCTATATTTTTCAAGCCCCATTTTTGGCTCTTAAAGAAGTTTTTGTGATTTCAGTCCTGCCTGCCTGCCCGCCTGCCCGCCTGCCCGCCCGCCCAACACATCAGCCTGCCTGCCTGCCTGCCTGCCTGCCTGCCCAACACATCAGCCTGCCTGCCTGCCTGCCCAACACATCAGCCTGCCTGCCTGCCTGCCCAACACATCAGCCTGCCTGCCTGCCTGCCCAACACATCAGCCTGCCTGCCTGCCTGCCCAACACATCAGCCTGCCTGCCTGCCTGCCCAACACATCAGCCTGCCTGCCTGCCTGCCCAACACATCAGCCTGCCTGCCTGCCTGCCTGCCTGCCTGCCTGCCCAACACATCAGCCTGCCTGCCTGCCTGCCTGCCTGCCTGCCCAACACATCAGCCTGCCTGCCTGCCTGCCCAACACATCAGCCTGCCTGCCTGCCTGCCCAACACATCAGCCTGCCTGCCTGCCTGCCCGCCCGCCTGCCCAACACATCAGCTTGCCTGCCATTCCTGTTTTTTTTAATCAGAATCAGAATCATTTTTATTGCCACGTAAGTAACAGGAGGTCACAGACTTGGAAATTGCTTTGGCTCAGTGCAACAGTCAAAAAGAGATAATAAAAATAAGAATAAAAAACACTTCTAAAGATTAAATTTAAATTTAAAAGAGTTACAGTTACTATTTACAATATACAAGTGCACATGGTGCACACAATGTAAGGTGACAGCAGTACAGTGAAGTAAAGTGACGTATGATGGGCAGTAAAGTGACTTTATAAAGGGCGGGGGGACAGGTTAAGAAGTGTTCAAGAGTCCAACAGCAGAGGGGAAGAAACTGTTCTTGTGGCGGGAGGTTCTAGTCCTGATGGACCGCAGCCTCCTGCCTGAGGGGAGTGGTTGGAATAGTCCATGTGCAGGGTGAGAGGGGTCGGCTGTGATACGACCAGCCCGGCCTTGAGCTCGGGCGACGTACAGGTCCTGCAGCGATGGAAGGCTGCGGCCGATCACTTCCTCTGCAGAGCACACAATGCGCTGTAGTCTCTGTTTGTCCCTGACTGTGGCTCCAGCGAACCACACGGTGACGGAGGAGGTGAGGATGGACTCGATGATGGCCGTGTAGAACTGCACCAACATCTGTGCAGGCAGCTTGGCTTTCCTGAGCTGCCGCAGGAAGTACATCCTCTGCTGGGCCTTCTTGATGAGGGAGCTGATGGTCGGCTCCCACTTGAGGTCCTGGGTGATGGTGGTGCCCAGGAAACGGAAGGACTCCACAGAGGTGATGGGGGAGTCCATCACGGAGGGTGGGGGCGGGGGGACAGTGCTCTTCCTGAAGTCCACAATCATCTCCACTGTCTTCTGGGCGTTCAGCTCCAGGTTGTTACCACTGCACCAGGACACCAGCCAGTCCACCTCCCTCCTGTAGGCGGACTCATCGTTGTTGGAGATGAGTCCAATGAGGGTGGTGTCGTCCGCGAACTTGATCAGCTTCACAGAGTCGTGGCTGGAGGTGCAGTGGTTGGTGTACAGGGAGAAGAGCAGGGGAGAAAGAACACAGCCCTGTGGGGCTCCTGTATTTATAATCCGAGAGTCCGAGACATTCTTCCCCAGACGCACTCGCTGCTTCCTGTCTGTCAGGAAGTCAGTGATCCACCTGCAGGTGGAATCTGACACGTTGAGCTGGGAGAGCTTGTCCTGGAGCAGGGATGGCAGGATTGTGTTGAAGGCAGAGCTGAAGTCCACGAACAGGACCCTGGCGTAGGTCCCCGGGGAGTCCAGGTGCTGTAGGATGTGGTGGAGGGCCAGGTCAATGGCGTCGTCTACAGATCTGTTGGCTCTGTAGGCGAACTGCAGGGGGTCCAGGAGGGGGGAGGTGAAGGACTTGAGATGGGAGAGAACCAGGCGTTCAAATGACTTCATGACGACAGACATGAAGTCAAATACATTTGATTGAAACCCAATTCAGTCTGCCTTTTGAGTCCTTTCCTTCAATTGTGACACATATATTATAAAGCCCACACACACACACACACACGCGCGCTTCCATGCACACACATGTCTGCCACTTCAGATAAAATAAAAAGCATGAAAAGATGGGAGACGTAAAAAGGGTGCGGACGTAACCAGATGAAGCGTCATCCAAGCCATCTGCACCAGAAGCAGAGAGCCGCCTGCAACCACAGGGGACGGCACAGAGGAGAGAGGAGGCCCCAGACCTCCTCTGGGTCCAAGAGCCAGACCCCCACAGCCACAGCCGGTCAAATTAAACACTGGAGATACGATAAAAAGTAAAAACTTGAAATGTAAGAAAAAAAATTACAATATACACTAAAATAATTATAAAGCAAATCAATCCTGAAACACACGGGGAGCCAATGCTGCAATTTTAGAACCGGTGTGTCGTAGTCCCGCCCCCTGGACACGTGCAGCAGAGTTTTGGGGTAATTGTAAACTTGAAATGTTATTTTTGGGAAGACCAGGGCATTAGAATAGTCGAGTCAATGAGTTACTATTTGACTCTTTAGGCTGACAGATGATTTGCTGATAAAAGGTTCCTGAGATTCCACATCCCCCGTCTCCGCTCAGCCCAGTTTCCCCACTCCAGTCGCCTCTGAAAGCTTTATGCACAGGGGAAACATCTTTTCCACCTGTGTGCATCAGCTCAACCCCCTCCTTTCCGATCACTCCAAACAGAAACGACAACATGAAGAATATCATTCACAAATTAGATGCAGTGGATGAAGACTTCATATTGATCAGATTACTGCTGCTTGATTTAATGGAATGTGGCTTTGATAATGATAGATGGCCTCTGTCAATCCAATACACAGACGAGAAGCATTCTCCAATCGTCACGAACAGGGGGAGAAATAAAAGGGATCTATTCATGTAAAGCTGTTTCTACTCCCACAGATTATTTTTTAGCACTCTTATTTATCAAACTAGTGGCGTTTAAACATGCCCTGCTCGCTCCCCTCCAGGCCCTCTGCCTTGGGCCTGGAACAAGCCGAGCTGAGCACAGATGCAGACAAGAGGAGGCAGTAAGGTCTGTGCCAAAACTTGCAGTCAGAATGAAGGATATGGCTCGTCTCTTTCCACTTTTCTGTCTGTAAAAGCTGATCGAAATGTAATGTAGCCGAGTGATTGATAAAATATTTTACCATAAAACTATTAAAACCCTAAACAACAGTGAGAACAACTGGCCCAGCAAAAACAAGACAGTGAATACCAATTAAAAATATTTAATTACAAATATTAAAATTACAGGTTAAGAATGTGCAACAATAAAGTTAATTTAAAAAAAAAAAAGGGAAATCCCCGTCAAGTCCCGGCGCGTCACGTCTTTGAACAGGCCGCTCTGATCTGGCTGCTCCTGAACACAAAATACAAACGGCAGAAAAACGGGCCGAAGGAAACACTAAAAGCAGAGCCTGGGTGGTCTAAAACTTACAGACAAGGCAGGGTTTTCCCTGCCTTTGCTGTAGTCCCGTGTGCCAATTGTCCGACTCCCCGGGTGCCCCCGCTGGACCTCCGCTCCACAGCAGCCCCCTCCTGCGGGATAGACACAGCAGCAGTGTCCTGCCCTCACACCCGCAATCCCCACAACCCGAAAGGCTGTGTGAACACCACTACAAGTTGTAGATCAATACTCACAGTCAGAGGCAGAGTTTCCTCTGCCCCTGCGTGTAGTGGACCTCGTGGTGTTCTCTCCAAGGGATCGCGGGTTCTGCCGCTGTGCTCTCGGCTGGCTGCTTCTGGTCAGTCCTCCCCGTGTGCCGTGAGGATCCGTCTGCGCGGTCCCGATCTCTCCTTTGCTGCGCTCCCCAGGTGATTATATTCCCTGTGATTGCGCCCGCAGGTGTCTTGGTCCATCCTCATCAGGGGTGGGGTGTGCGTTGTTGTGAGGGCAACCAATTAAACAGTCTAAAAGCATGCGCTTGAAATCACAGCAAAACAATAAAACTCATAACAGCAATTGAAAACCATAGCAGTAAAAACACTCAGCATGCATAAATATAACAAAACGCCCCCACTTGGGTCCCATCACACAAAGATATGAAAAAGGCCCAAAATACATGTACATGAAAACCAGTGAGGAAAGAGTGAAATGGTTTTTTTGGGGTTTGTAAATTCTCCAGGTTTAAGCATACCAAAGACATTTTGGAAAACAATTGGTAGAGGTTAGTACATTCACAGTATCAGTGGTAACACTTGCTTTAGCCCAAGAATCAATTATCACTCCTTACCCACTGAAAGCAGCACATACATGTAAAGTCCCTCATCTGCCAAAAAAATAAATGAACTGCCGTAGGTCTGGACGATATGGGAATAATAACGCCCACAATCTGTATTAAAATGTGTATGTAGTTTGTGCATGCTTGTGAATTTTCTCTCAATCTGTTTGCACAAATGCTAATTCATACCCAACAGTTGGAGGCAGGTCATATCAGGTGCAAATAGCAAATGCTCATGGCGTAACAGACTCTTTCATTATAAATAACATACCAGCATATGTTGATGGGAAGATGTGCTGTAAATGTTGTAGAGATGGAAAATGATGTCACAGTGCTGTATCGCTGTGTGCTAAACAAACAGGCCTCTCCCCCAAACGTGTCATCATCCCTGACATTTGGCTGCTCGCCCCTCATTGGCTGTGGCACGTATAGCGCTGCATAACTTATAAGCTATGCAAAGAACACCCGGCTTTACCTGCCAAATGCAATCACCTCAACATATGCAGGAGGTTACGGAGAACTGCAAGAAGAGAGAAAGATGCCAAGCTGTGATTTATGAGCTGAAAAGACAGATTAACTCCAGTAGCTGCCTAACTGGCCCTGAAACAAGTTGAATTACAACCCAGACTAGGAAGGAGAAGAGGAGAGGTGCAGTGAGGAGGGATGAAGGGGGAGAAAAGGTCAGTGCAGGAGCAGGACCGAGAAAGAGCGGGTGGCGATGGAGGAGCAGATCGCTGTGGAGGCAGTCAAAACTGAAAAGGTCAAAAGGTAAAGAGGAAAAAGATGGATTGAGGACATCAAGTGGAAATAGAGGTTAAGATGGCTGTTGAAAAGCCGACAAAAGTGGTCCTGATGGTGGTGCAATAATAGAACCAGTCTCTTGCATTGCTTTAAGGGACATAAATGAAGGTTAGGCCCAGAGGATTCTCGTAAAACTCGATCAAAATAGTCTAATATTTTGCATCTATTTTAAAAAAGACTTGTGTGTGATTGTGATCATACTATTATTGTAAATATGCACAATATGTCTGTGACTTCCTGTTACTGACATGCCAGTAAAAATTTTAATTTTGATTCTGAATTTCTATTTCCCTCAAAAAGTAGCACTTTAAAAAGGAATGCCAGGGCTCAAAAAGGCCGGGAAACACTACTGTACACAAAGCCACAGACACACTGTTAATATAGATTATAATCCATCATCGGTGAGACAAAGAAAGAGGGTGAGGGCAATCATCTTTTTGGCAGCCTTAAACCCCGCCACAAGAACCCCTTGATTTTCCCTGTTGAGTTCGAGATGAGATAATTTAAGGACCAGAGGAGAACAGGGCAGCAGACAGGACAGGAGGACATAAAATTTCCCAAATGTTCTGACCCCTAACCCCCGAGGACTGCCAGACCATGTGGAAGGAGGTCCAGATGCTGTTTTGACATGGCCCTGATTGGTTGATTCACCTGTCGGTTTATCCTATCTGAATATATTTTAATGTTGATTTGAGTGCTTAGTACCAATTTACCTACTGTGGAGGCAACAAAATGTTAATATAGATATAAAAATAAAATATCTTATTTGATTAAGCAAAAAAAAAAAAAATCTAAAACACAATTCGATCAAGCTGCAGTTTCAACCCTCCTGGAATCTTGTGAATCCACATGCACAGACTTGTTCGAGCATGTGACATGTGTTGAGGCATAAAGAGAAGGCCTTTTGTATGAGTTTCGTGGAGACTTCATCCAAATCATCAAAAAGCCTTCCTGGCTCTCCCCTGCAGTCTGCCCCCCTGCCAGCTCCACTGAGGCAATTTTCAGAGCAAAGAAAACCCATCTCAGATCTCCATAAAGGGACCTTCCATTTCACTTTAATCATTAACAGCAGGCATTCATCTCTCTCTTATTGGACTGCTGTGTATTTGATGTTAGAAGTGCACAATTTATTTAGACGATATTTAAAAACAAGCTCCTTCATAAAAGTACATGATTTATTTTATAATAATAGAGTCAGTCACATGGGGAGAGGGAGCCATAAAAAAACAAGAATATTGTTTTCGAGTCAAGAATATCTCTCTTACAATTCGTTTGTCCTGATTATAGTTTTGATGAAAAACAGTCCTAAAAATATGTGTTGTATTGTTCTCCACTTTTAACCTGTGAGAATAATGCATTTCAAATCAAGTTAGTATAAAAAGGTGGTGTACCAACTGATTGATTTACAACTTGAAATCTGAAATGGAAAATAACCTGCTCGCATCGTTTCTGAAAACAATAAAGTTAAAGATAAAGTTTGTAGAGAACTGGAGACATAATCCCGCTCACTGTATGGACTTTCTTTCAGCACCATAAAACATTCAAACTAAAACAGTTCTGATAATTTTCTGATAAAAAGTTATCTAATGAGTGCTTTAAATGTTCTATTAACAGACATTTATTTATTTTTCATTATATTTATTTGACATACTGATTGTCCATGTCCACCTTGCAGCGAACTGGGTCTGAAAACTATTGAATGCAACTTGGTTTAATGCACTTTTTATATAGCTGAGATGAGCACGTGCAATTGTGTCAGGGATTAGTGACTCTATAGGCTTATGATCATAACACTAATCCAGGGAAACATTGGGAATTCATTCAGACAATGGGATGTGAATGAAAGAACTAGACATTGTAATGCCAAAGCCTCATAGAGACTGATATGACCAGCACAGCTTTTCAGACGCAATAACACCCCGCCGAGATAAACACTACTTACACAACAGTTGCGAATTGCACAGTGAAGTGAACAGGAAAAAACCCTTTGAGTATAGAGACATTTCATGTAAACCAAAGATAATTATCCATCTATAAAACAAGGAGCATCTGTTGTGTGTATCTGTCTAGCACACCCGTAACTCAAGGCTGTTTGTAAGATCAACCTACATTTTCAGATCTACGTGGCTCATGACAAGGTGGTGTGCATGGTCAAAAAAGTTGCACTTTCTCATCTGACCACATTATCTTCCAGAACGTGTCATCCACTTAGCTTCTTTCGGCTTTATTTCAGAAATGGTTTTCTCTTTGCAATTTTTCCACAAAAGCCAGATTTCTTTAGTCTGTGACTAATATTGGCAGCATGTACAGATCCATCGGGTAAGCTGTGAATGTCTGGAGCTTTTACAGAGTAACCATTGGCCTTGACTCAGCATCTGTAGTCGTTGCTGTTCAAAGTTTGGGCAGACAGTCAGGTCTTGGTAGATTTGCAGTTGTGCCATAGTCTCTCCATCTCGCCATTGCCGTTTTCTGTGAGAGGCTCAGTGCTTTGAAATAATAATCTAACCACTCAAAACCTCTTCTCAACTTCAAACCTGACCTCTCTGATGGCTCTCTAAGATTTTGTTTAACACTGTTTGACATATACATTTGCAATAGCTACAATCCAGTGAAGTTACATTATTGCAGAACATTAATATGCATTGACCCATTCAATCGATGAAATTAATACAAATGAATGAAAAGTGCATCATCAACATCTGAGACCTTCACAGAACAGCTGTAATCATGTTGAGAGTAGACACACTCAACACTGGACTACTCTTAATAGTTAGGTTGACAATCATCCATCAACTTCCAAAGAAAATTGGTTGCACTCAGAAAAACTTTTGCCATCCCTGCTTTAAAATCTTTTGGTTACCACTGTATACACACATGTACGAACACTCAGAGTAAATGTGTATGACCGAATACACTTTTGCGTACTGTAAATGCACGGCATAAACCCATTAAAGGGGTCATCCAGGGTTTGCAATGTGAAAAAACTGTCCAAATGTCTTTGACAGCATGAGGGACAAACTCAAAAACATGTTCTTCACTCGGAGATCAATCAAACCTAATCTTTCTTTGGCCACAGACAAATGTGAATGGTCTTAGTTAAAGCATTAGCGCAAATAAGCAAAAATGAAAAGCCAAACGTTTGCACTTTCACTGATGACGTCTGCCTTCACTGAGAGCTTGTGTGGCACTGAAAATGAAGCAGCTGTTCATGAGCAAAATCTACCTGCATCTGGTTGTTCATCTCTGTAAACAATAGGAGAGAAGTCCACAAAAGAATGATCCATTGTGTCTGTGAGTGGCAAAGAACTGACACGTCCTCCTTCCGAAGCAGTTAAATGTCTATCTGCGCCTGACAGAGGCTGCAGGAGGAAGTTCCAGAAACTGTGATTGTTTCACAACCATAGATCTGGACATGCACATGTAGAACCGTACACTTGTGCAGCTACGCACAGGTCCTGTTGCTTCCCCTGCTGCAGACACCTGGAACATTGATCCATATCGATCACTGACATTGTCTGTAAACAGGATCACGGTCTGCATGTGTGTGAAGGAGATATATTCTTTTTTAGTGTTGTTTACCAATTGAACACAATTTGAGTTTATTATGTATTCAATTTGTTGTTTGTCCATTTCAAAAGTCCCCAATAGCATGATCATACTTAGAGGACTGCCCGTTGCACTCAGTGATCTTGATACTGTAAATCAAATGCAATCAACTAAGTTTGAATTGATTTTAGATAACATCTGATATACAAACTCCCATCGCTGAATAAAACATAAAACTTATGACTATTTTTTCCAATTAATACAGTTCATTTCTTTCAAAAGAACCTTTTACTTCAACTACTTTCCCACTTCATCTAAACTAGCATAAACAAATTACTTAGAAAAGGCCATAAATAGAAGTAATAGGGCTTGCGAGGCACTCAATAAGGGCCGTGTCATCGCCAGCCTCTGCTCTTGTTAATGTCTGCAGACTATATTAACTTTTGTGTCGCCTGCACATAGATACATACACAGTGACACATCCTGTTCTGTTCAATGTGTGCCTGTGTGTTGACTGTGTGAGTTATTCGCCCGGATGCTAATTGCAGACAAATGACTTTGCCGCACACAATCATTCCTGGCTTTTTTATGTTTAATTTCACCAGTTGATTACCGGCAGAGTTTAGCACCGCCATTCCTCTTCCTCTGCCACCAGGACGACTCATCCGTCTTCGCCAGCTCGCACTCTCTCGCATACATAATGAGCTGGCTCTGACGAACGCACGCATACTTTTCATAAATCATGCTCTAGTTTGTAACAGCTTTTCTTGCTCTTTGCCCGTCTCTTATGCTCTTTCAATTAAAGCTGCATTGCCCATTGGAAATCTAACGCGCTACGGACAAAGCAGTCCTACTAAATTATTTCCGGTATAGTTCTTCGATTTGCGCCCCCCTCCCTCACAACGGACAAATTACACTCGACAACACCAGACCGTGATGCTGCCCAATACTGATACTTTTATTTGTGTTGACTTGCTTGTAATGCGAGCAATAAAAATGTGTGACCGAGGAGCAGTACGAGTGCAGTTAGATATGTTTGTTTTTGTTTTTTTTTACAGTGTAATGGTTATGACACAGTACATCTCGGCTGAACCACAAGAGCTCACACCCCGGCACAGATGATGCTGACATAGCCAAGTGTCATGCTCAGACACACAAACCCAAGCCTCATATGCGCATGCTGTAAATGAGAACTGCTGGCAAAGGGTTAGTATCAGTCATTGCAATCGAGATTTTATCACCGGTGCAGTTTGTGATCAAAAAATAAATCCAAAACAGTAAATAGATTTATTTGTTTTTATTAGTGTGTTGTCCCCACAGCCACAGCTCTCAGTCTGTGGCGGTCTTTTATAAATCCAGCAGATACACACTTTTACAACCCAATTTAAAGAGGTGTTCAGAAAAGTCCCGGGAGGCAAGGTCTGGACAGTGTGCCATTTGGATACAATTTCCTTTTGTGCTGTGCTTTTTTTTTTTTTTTTAAGCCAAAAAAAGGGGAGTTCTGGAGCTTTTACATGCTATGGCCTAAACTGGTTCATCAGCTAAATAAATAGAACCTTCAGTGCTCCTATCCCACACACCCTCTGGCCTCTCTAGATGTTTGTGTGCATGAGGAAGTGAACAGTGCAGTGGCATGTACCTTTTCTTCTCTGTTCCAAATGATGTGGCGAGCTCGCCCTCGGCATCACAAAGGGAAATTGGTGTTCGATCCCAAGAAGCCAGTTTGCCTTTAGGCGAGCTATTAGCCACGTGCCAAGTTAAAAACAATGCAAATAGAGGCCCAGGGTTAAGAATGGCATCACTCCTTAAATTATACAACAGCTGATGTATAGCAACTACACTGAGAGGACACGTGTCAATATTTTTTCCATTGTTGTTTCTCCAGATTCTTTACTGGAGAGCGGACTGGCAAAAGGCTTGAGACAAATCAGCAATCAGGTGTAAAATACTAACAAGCAGCAGGGGAAGGAGTGTTCAAAAACTTTCCTCCTCAAATTAACGTATAAACTGTGCTGAACAGATAAACTTTCCTTGCAATGCCAAATGCAAATTGCTGGATTAATAACTTGTGCTGCAAACCGAATTCTCATGATGTCTATCCTTCTTGTTTCATTCTTACTTCTGTTTGTGTTTTCATGTTGTTAAGCACATTGAGTTTAATGTAGTTGTATTAAATGTGCGATACAAATGCATATTATTTTTTTAAATGTACCCAGTACTAATCATTAAATGAATAATTTTTTATTTGTAGTGCGCCTTTCTTACACAGGGCAACATAAAGCGCTTCACAGTCCACATCACACAAGGCACAAATCATCACATAAAACAAACACCAGAATCCCCATATAAAACACAATGAAAAATCACACATATTTTTAAAAACATTGAAATCACACATTAAATAAAAACCGTTACAACATTAAAATCACACAAGGGATATAAAAAAAAAAATCATCTCTGCATTGAAAATAGAGTTGTTCAGTTGCACAGGCAAACAATTGATATGTGTTATGGGCGGCACGGTGGCTGAGTGGATAGCACTCTCGCCTCTCAGCAAGAAGGTCCTGGGTTCGAATCCCGGTCGGACTAGGGCCTTTCTGAGTGGAGTTTGCATGTTCTCCCCATGTCTGCGTAGGTTTCCTCCAGGTGCACCGGTTTCCCCTACCACTAAAAATATGTACAATAGGTCTGGCATGCGCCTCCTGTTCGGCGACCCCGCTCCCATCTCTATGTGGAGTGAGAGGACAAGTGCCCAAAAATAATAACAATTGTAAACCGCTTTGTGACTCTGGTCTGTGAAAGGCGGTATATAAATAAAGATTACTTACTTACTTAAAAATCTGTCTGCAACAACTCCCAAAATAATTTGTAGACCAGTTTCTAGAATTTGCATTGCATTTCAATTCGTCAGGTGTGAAGATTTTCCTCACAACATAATATGATGTATTTGCTTATTGCACTGGCACTGTAATCCCAAAGGTACGGCATTGTGTTATCTGTAGTTAAGGGCTTCTCCATCCAAATCTCGGGGAGAACTTTGCCTTGAATATAGAGTTGAATATACTGCGCACCACAAGACACGGACATTTACTTTGATAATGGCTTTTTTGGGCGGAGGACAGATGTCACTTGAGGGTGTAGAAAAGAGAGAAAACCACGTTGAAGCGTTCACTTCAGGGCCACTATCCATCACCAATGCAGTTGGTATTGAACACACTTTCCCTGAAGAAAAGGAAGGCCCCTTTAGTCAGATTTTTTTGTTCAATAGTTAACCAAATAAAGCGGGCATACAATAATGGGAAAAGTGGGTAGGATAAATAAACGCTAGCGGATTGTCGATGGTGACCGTTGATGTTAATTCAGCCGGACTGCGTGCATTGTGAACACTAATAGACTCTGGCTGGGTAGAAAACCCACTGCTCTGTGAAAACCATGCTCCATTGTACGTACATTTACCTCAATAGCTCCATTCTATTCCGTCTAGCTTATTATGTTGTGTCCATTGAAGTGTCTATGTGTGGGTACAGTTACGTAGCCTCGCTCTGTTTCGGTGGGTCTGTTTTTGCTGACAGGAGGGAGCGTGCTGCTGGGCTAGAAGTGCACCGAGCCGCGACCGGAGAGGAGAAGCACATCGGACACCACCTATTTATCACACTGACTCCTTCCGTCCACTGCCAAGGAGATCAGAGCGAGTGGGGGAGAGGGCGGATGAAGATGGTGTAGAGCTAAAGAGAAAGGGACAAGAATGAGGCTATAAAGCAAAGGTGATCCACTTAACATTGTTGTGCAATTTAAGCATATTACTGTGTAGATTATATTTTAACTCTTGTTGCGTTCATGTTCCAGAATTCAATTTCAGTTTAGAATGTAGGTGCCAATACAATTCTGATGGGAAAAGAGGATTTTTTTTTAAAGAGGTTTTCAAAAAGATGATTTCCAAATGTATTCCCAGATTATTATTTGCTGATGAGATTATGTTCATGTGTGAAAGTCCTTGTACTGGTCAAGATCATACATGTTTTTGAACGTTGTCATCCCTTCTAGACACCTTCAGAGAAAATATATTGATCATACTTACAAAGAACATGTAAACAGATTTGTGTGTGACAGATTTTGTTGGATTGTAAATGGAAACATAGAAATTAGTTGAAAAAATCTAACTAGAAGTTACAGTTCACAGTGAGAAATGTCTTTCAACTACCCTTGACCAAAAGTGTACTCTCCAAAAGTGAAAAGAGGCGTATTATTTATTTTCTTTTTTTAAATAAGCCTTGGTGATTTGGATCATCTGAATCACTGAAATAACTGAAACGTGAGTCCATTTCTTCCCATTTTGAGTTATGTTCTCAGACAAACAGGCAAAGAACTGAGGTTGGAATTGTTGGACTCTTGTGATGTCACACAAATGCAAACTACTAATTCTGATTGAATGATCAGAGGCTTGTAATTGCAAATTGTGAATTTCAAGGGTTTTCTCATCAAAAATGCCATACTTGTGACTTTAATACATGACTTTTATGTGCAAGGAAACGCACCTGAAGCTGTCCATGCTTTAGATTCTCCCTGTGGTGTTAAAAATGTGCACAACCAGGAGGAAGCCAAGGGGTAAGCTTAAGCCACAGCAGAGAGACTGCATCTCTCAGCAGGCCTGTGGATGCATCAGTACATTTTCCAAGAAACAGGGGAAATGTCTGGGGAGCGGGAAGTTGGATCATTTAAATGTCTGCCTTAAACATACTTGCATATTGGGAAATAACAGTTTGAAATCTAGAAATGATTCCTTTTACATCTTTTATATGTTTACTGTGTAATTGGGATTTTAACAAATGAAATAAGAATACTTTCAAAGGGTAATAAAAATACATATTACATTCATTTTAAACTGATAAAATAATAATAATAATAATGCTAATAATAATAATGATAATAACAATGCATCGGTTTTATATAGCGCTCTTAATTGGGAACTCAAAGAATCTTCACTTTGACATTGTTCATTCACTCCATACACAGTGATGATAAACTACCACTGTAGTCACAGCTGCCCTGGAGCACCCTGACAGAAGCGAGAGTTAGTCAACCAGTATGTGTCATCAGTCCTTCCAACAACCACCAACCATTCACGCACACACCACACTAGACTCATTATAGGCATTGTCTGGGAAGTGTCTTGCCTAAGGACACAGTGACAGTTTACAGCTGCAGCCACTCCACTGTGGCACCTGGTGTTCTCAGATGTCTCCCATCACTGTACTAACCAGGTCCTGTACAGTTTATTTTCAGACGTTTAACGGGATCTGGCTTTCAAATGTATGTAGGGCCACATTTATAAATAGACGACATTTATTTCATTTTGAGGTGAATAGAACAGCCTACAGTTAAATTCACACACTCAGAAGCATGTACCTGGAATATGTATATGTACATCTACATGTATATGGTGCACAATCTAAAACATCCAGTGAACCCAGAAGTTGGCTGTTCTCTGTGTAACATCATTATGTGAGTAACAACTACCTTCACTCCTCTTAGGCCTGCGGGCCGTTTTTATTATTTAAAATGTTCTGCTGGCAATAGCACTAACATTTGAACCTGGTGAAATAATGTAGTCCATTCTGTTGTCCCACAATCACAAACACACAATCATTTAACCCTCCCCTATCGCACATGTCTTTAGTGGTAGGTGAAAGCGGACCTACGCAGACGTGGGGAGAATAGGCAAACTCCACAGACACAGAGCGAGTCTGAAAAGTTATTTCTGGATGCGACGTTGACATCTGTCAAGAAACGTGCCTGTGTGCTACTATCTAGTTTTGTACCCAAAACCAAACGATACCTTTAGATGTGTGCATCAGTATCACAGCCTTGTTTGAGTCTCGGCACACTTGAAAAGCTGCTGTGGCATCCCATCCACTAAAACATTATCAAATTACTCCATTACAGATAGTGTTTTGATGTGTTTTAGCACACCATTTTCATGTCCCAATGTCCTTCAGAAAGTTGTCTCTCAAATGGGAAATTGTGTTGTTAAATGGTTGTGTGAATCAGTGAACTTTAACTAGACAGGATACACACACCACACAAGAAAATTGCGACACATTCAATGCAAATTAATAGCAAATCTTGTATTTTCAAAGCAGATTGTTCAAATACCAGTCTCCTTTAAATCTTGTTTTTCCCACTGTCTTTTCCATGGTATATGCATGATTCATTATAAACATCCAGTTTGAGCCACCGGTCTGCATATAAGCCTTTGCCCCAGCTGATTGGGTACAGCAGAGGATGAATGGTGGTGGTGGTGGGGTATGGGTTTGGCGTGGGTGGAGCGTCCATGAAAGAAACCCCGCAGAGAAAGCTACTGTTACCAAGGAGAGGGTAAAGGAATGCGCAATTCAATAGAAAAAAATCATCAAGCATGAACAAAGAGGGGAGAGAATTTAAGCTCCAATAAAAGCATGATGATAAGGCGGTCGATGCACTGCGAAAAATGATCCGATTTCCAAGCAATAAATTACACATTTAACTTCCGTGGCAAAACTTACTCTTCACACCGTTCTAACCCAGCATATAACGCCTATGTGTGTGTGCCTCTATAAAGGTTTTTATGCCCGCAAACCAATTTACGCCCCTGAAATGAGATCTAAAGTACCGTCTCACCACGCTCCCATAATTAATTGAAAAGAACTAAAATAATGATATCTGTGGAGGGATATTGATAGCCACGGTTTATTTCTGACAGCTAGCTCCTGCCGTGCCTCGAAACACTTTTTATGATTAAGCCAAAGAGAACAAAAGCTTTAAAAAATGTCTATAGCTGCTCAGCAAGCCTTGACTGCCTCGTGGATTAAGAATATATCACATTGCCTGCTGTTGTTAGAGTGAAGAGGGTGACAGAGAACGAGAGAATGGTGAAGTTGCAACACATTTGATTTTATTGGATAATATTACATTTCAATTGACTTTACTGCAGGCATTGGAAGATTATCAAGGAGGGACAAGGGGCCTTTTGTTTGGAGAATTGGGCCTGACACAGATTTTATACCACCTGAAGGGAAACACTGTGTCAAAGTGACAGTGTGGTGACACTTTTATACAGTTGTGCTTGAACGTTTACACACCTCACATCCTGACAGGTAATGAACGATAATGCAAAACTTATTGTTAGAGGTTGTGTGAAGCCATTTATTGTTAAATATGTGCAATTTTGAAATTATCTTGACTTCATATACTCTTCTAACCCTGATTAGAAGTTTCCATCCCCCAGTTCTCAATTGTGTGTATTGCTCCTTTAACATTTGAAACTTCCTTTCTGGTCATTGTGGATGATGTTCTTTATCCTCTTTGATGGTAAGTAAAAACCTACACATGCTAAATCTATAATGCGCTATATACATCATGTGTATTGGAAAAAAGAATCCTCACCTTTGGCCCTCCGCGGGCGGTTATCCCTCTCTAAGCTTGGGTCCTCTACCAGAGGCCTGGGAGCTTGAGGGTTCTGCGCAGTATCTTTGCTGTTCCTAGCACTGCACATTTCTGGACCGAGATGTCCGAGGTTGTTCCGGGGATCCGCTGTAACCACTCTTCTAGCTTCGGGGTCACTGCCCCGAGTGCACCGATCACCACGGGCACTACTGTCACCTTTACCCTCCAGGCCCTCTCCAGCTCCTCTCTGAGACCTTGGTATTTCTCAAGCTTTTCGTGTTATTTTTTCCTGATGTGGCCATCACTTGGAATTGCCACGTCCACCACCACGGCTGTCCTCTGCCCTTTGTCTACCACCACAATGCCAGGTTGGTTTGTCATTACCATTCAGTCGGTCTGTATCTGGAAGTCCCACAGGATCTTCGCACGCTCATTCTCCACCACCTTTGGAGGAGTTTCCCAATTAGACCTTGGGGTTTCCAGCCCATACTCTTCACAGATGTTTCTGTACACTATGCCAGCCACTTGGTCTTGTCTGGATTGGTTTTTCTGGGCCTCTATCGCTCGGATGCAGCCATGATGAGTGCCTCTGTGCTGTCCTGTAGGCCAGCCCTTTCTAGCCATTGGTAGGACTTCTTGAGATCAGCCACTTCTGCTATGCCGTATAGGGGCTTGTCTTCCCATGATGAGCTCTCCTCCATTATATATATTTATATTTTCTATATTGCATTATTACTACAGATCAATGACATGTGAGGTTGGCAATATTCATGAGTTTTCAGGAGTGTCCCCTGCACTCCAAAACACCTGACCCCGCTCAGCTGGTAGAGACGGCCCTGGTTCTTCCTGATGGGGGCAACAGTATTATCATGATCAGTTTCCAGTACACTCTCTCAATGTTACTTCCCTAGATGTTCACTGGGGCTGGAGCGGCAGAGTGGCGTCTGTAAAAATCCACCACCATCTATTTGGTCTTCCCTGCCAGTCGTTAGAGAAATTCTGATGGACATAATTGTCCGTGTTGTGTCTAAATTCTGCAGTGTAGAAAGTGTAGAGGAACGGCACAAGGACGGTACCCTTTGGAGCCCCTACACTGCAGGACCTCAGACACAAAATCCCTGGTTCTCACAGACCCCAGTCTGTGTGTGAGGTTTTCCAGGATCCACTAAGACAGGTAGGTCCAGGTGGGAGATGAGGCCATCCTCTACTCTGATTCCAGCCCATTGGGTGAGCTGCTTCAGTTCCATCTTTGAGTTCACAGTGGAGCAAGGCAGACCAGGACCAGCCTCTCCAGTGTCTTC